GCGGCTGACCAGGATCTGGACGGTGAGGAGACCCTCGCCGGCGTCCCGGGCGTCGATGGTGAACTCCACGGGCAGGCTGGCGGGAACGCCGGAGGAGTTGAGGCCCGGCCCGCTGGCGCGCACCTTGCTGGCGTCGTGCGCCCGCAACGTCTTGATCTTATAGGGGCTGGAGAGACAGGAGTGTGGCATTAGAGTAGTAAAGAGAGAAACTAAAGTCATTCAAGTGCTGAAACGACAAATAGCAGACAGCTGAAGGTCAAGTTCCCTACATTTTAAATTCATATTGAACTACAAATGGGCATTTTCTGAGGAAAATGCATAAATACAAGTTTCAAGTCCCTGGGCCACTTTGAAGCCGACTTGTGATTGATTGAATGATGTTGGCTCATTTGCATATATGTATATAAAATAAGGCACAAAATAACAATGGTGTGGCTTTGCGCCGCAACCACACCCATAAGACCAACCCTGGTATCTACACACCCCCCACACACGGCGGAGGGGGCTGGTGACGGCTCACCTGCGTGGGACCTCCTGGTCGGCGTACTTCACACACACGGTGTAGGGGCCGTCCTTGGCCGGCGTGTAGTTCACCGTGTGCGTGCCGTCGCCGTTGTCCGTGATGTTGACCGGCTCGATCATGCCTGGGTGAAAAAAGACATACAGTACATGTTGCTGATGACATTTTTTTCGTTTGTTTTTGTGTATCCAATGACAAGCTGAAATAGAACCGCATCATCAGGAATAACCGCACGATATCAGAAGCTATATATTAGCAGAAATATGTGTATTAGATTTATGTATGCATGTTTGTGAAAATCAAGTCAAGTATATTTCTGTACCTTTCTTTTTACTAGTTGGCCAGAAGAAATAGTCTTCATCATATGGTGTATTGTGTGTTTGTGTGTGTGTGTGTATGTGAACGTGTGTGTGTGTGTGTGTGTGACTGTGTGTGCATTGGTGCATGCATGCATGCGTGTGTGTGTGTGTGTGTGCGCGTTCGTGTGTGTGCGCGTTCATGTGTGTGTGTGTGTGTGTGTGTGTGTGCGTGTGTGTGGGTGTGCACCGCCTCACCGTTGGGCCCGTACAGCTGGACCTCCAGGGGAGCCAGGCCGGCCTTGCTGCAGTCCACGGTGAAGGTCTGCAGGACGTGGGCCCGGACCCCGCTGCCCAGGCCCGGACCGGAGCAGCGCACCTTGCCGGGGTCCACCAGCTCCCGCACCGGCACGCGGAACGGACTGCCTGTGTGGGGGGGGGGGGCGAGACATAAAAAAGGCACTTGGAGTCCAACCCAGGCAATGACTTTGGATCGCTCCCCTCCTTCAAAACCACACCCAAAACCCACCTAATTAAATCCGCTTTTAATAAGCGATTACTTTTCATTATTTCTCATTGTTGTAGTTGTAGTGTAGCAGTTGAGATGCTGGCTTTTGCAGGGTGAAATTATGTCAGGCCTTACAGTGTGCCATGCCCCCAATTCACCAAAACACCACCATGTTCATTTAGCAGCGGCCTCTCCGGTCTCACCTGGGATGGGAAGGCCTCCGAAGGTGATGTTGACGTCGTACTCGCCGGGCGTGAAGGGGATGTACTCCACGCTGCAGCTGCCATCTTTGTTGTCCTTACACGACATCTTGGCCTCGGAGGGACCCTCGATGGCCAGACCAAGACCCCCGGTACCGGCACCCCTGAGAACGTGGGGGAGAAGTTATGAAAGGTTAAAGGTCAAAGTCAGGAAGGGAGGGATAAATGAATAGCAAGAAGGTTATAGTAAAAGATGTTCCATGGGGGTTGAGGCGGGGTACCTGGTCTCCACGGTGAAGCGGTTGGGCTTGTTCACCAGCCCCTCCTCCAGGCCCGGCCCGTAGGCGCGCACGCGGCTGGGGTCGCAGCCCTCCATCACCATGACCCTGAAGGGGCTCTGCGGGACGCCCACCTCCTCGTACCGCACCTCGATCAGATGCAGCCCTGTGTGGGGGGGGGGGGGGGGGAGAGAGAGAGAGGGGAGAAACGTCATTTTTTTATCAATAACTGCATCTGTCTCCACCTGCATTCTTGCGAAGTTGTTTGCCCTGCTTATGTGTGTCTTCCTTTTTCCAAAACGGAAGGACGCAAAGTGAAAGTAAAAGTAGAAGATGTACCAAAATAATACATTCAAGTGAAAGTCTGGGAGACAATAGCAAGCCGACGACAGCACAGACGAATTAAATCTACATACAGTGCTACAGAGCGATATAGATATAGATATAGACGTCCTCACCGTCCTCGTAGGCCGTGTACTCCACCCTGTAGGTGCCGTCTCCCTTGTCGATGATGTAGGCGTCGGTGACAGCGCCCGACGGGTTGGTGATGAGGGCTTTGATGTGGCCACTGCCGCTCTTGCAGAGCGCCCGCGCGTCCACCACAAAGTGGGTGGTCACCTCCCGCAGCACTCCTGGGGACGACGATGGTTACCGCATACAGAAGATGTCGTTAGGATGGCATGACAAGCGTGTGAGATTTTTTATTTATTTTATTTATCCATTTATTTAACCAGGAAGGTCCCATTGAGATACAATATCTCTTCTTCCAGGGAGTCCTGGTCAAGATGAGCGGTATGATATGTCAGTACAGAGAAAACAAGACAAGACAAAAAGCTAACACACAACACACAACAATTAACTAAGTTTAGATCACGCCTTCCCATATACTCATCGTAGGTTCACACCTTTAGGTTCACAACTTTTCATTAAAAAAAATATACATAAAAATAAAAATACATAAAGGACAAAAAAAAACACTTTTTTTCGGGAGAACGTATGTAAAAAGCCCAACCAGAGGGACAAGAGTTGAGAATGAGCACTAGGTATAAACTCTCTGTACAGCCCATCCGGTTCAGCACCGGAACCCGGTTCAGTCGCCTCACCTCTGGGCTCCACGCCGGGTCCGAACACCGTCACGCCGCTGGTGTCCACCGCCGGCTCCACCTGCAGGCGGGCGGGGAAGCGGGGCACGGCCATGCCGCCGTACTTGATGGTGATGGCGTAGGCGCCGTGGCACCGCGGCGTGTACGTGATGGAGTAGGTGCCGTCGCCGTTCTCCTGCACGCGCACCTCCGCCTTGGCGCCGGACGACTCGGACGCGATCTCGATGGTGAGCTCCGCCTCGCCCGCCTCGGAGCAGTCCACCGTGAAGACGCCCGTCTCGTCCGCCTTGCCCCGCTCCAGGCCCGGCCCGCTCGCCGTCACCTTGCTGGGGTCGAACGACGGCTGCACGGCCGCCTTGAACGGCGAGCCCGGGATGTGCTGGTCGGCGAACAGGATGTTGATGGCGTAGTCGCCCGCCTCGGTGGGCAGGTAGGACACGGAGCAGGAGCCGTCGCCGTTGTCCTGGCACTCGATCTTGGCCTCGCAGGGGCCCTCCACCGTCAGGCCCAGGCCCCCCGTGCCGGCCCCCTTGGTGTCGATGGCGAAGGGCGCCGGCTTGCCCACCACGCCCCCCTGGAGCCCCGGGCCGTAGGCACGCACCTGAGAGGGGGGAGGGAGAGAGGGGGAGGGAGAGAGAGAGAGAGAGAGAGAGAGAGAGAGAGAGAGAGAGAGAGAGAGAGAGCAAGATTACATCATGAACTATGATGCAATAGATTTTACTGTAGGATAACATGTTCTCTTGTATGCAGTTGAGGAATTTTCTCAAACGAACATGTTTTCATTTGATAAATTAGTTGGCCATAGAAATAGACACAGAGGGGGGGGGGGGGGGGGGGGGGGGGAGAGAGAGAGAAAGAGAGAGAGAGAGACCAAGTTTACATCATGATCTACTATGTTGCAATGGTTTTTACTGTAGGATAACATGTTCTCTTGTAAGCGGCTGAGGAACTTCTTCAAAAGAACATGTTTTCATTTGATGAATTAGTTGGCCAGAGAAAGAGACACAGAGGGGGGGGGGGGGGGGGGGGGGGGGGGAGAGAAAGAGAGAGAGAGACCAAGTTTACATCATGATCTATGTTGCAATGGTTTTTACTGTAGGATAACATGTTCTCTTGTAAGCGGCTGAGGAACTTCTTCAAAAGAACATGTTTTCATTTGATGAATTAGTTGGCCAGAGAAAGAGACGCAGAGGGGGGGGGGGGGGGGGGGGGGGGGGGTGTAGAGAGAGAGAGAAAGAGAGAGAGACCAAGTTTACATCATGATCTATGTTGCAATGAATTTTACTGTAGGATAACATGTTCTCTTATATGCGGCTAAGGAACTTCCTCAAAAGAACATGTCTTCATTTGATGAATTAGTTGGCCAGAGAAAGGAAGCGGGGGGAGGGGGGGAACGAAACAACGAAAAGTGGTGGTGGTGATAGTTGATAGATACGTCTGTGTGGGAGCAGGACACCTTTATAAATGGTCCGACATACAAACTCAAGGTTCAGTATGTGTGAGTGTATGTGTGTGTGAGAAATCTCCCCTCTTTATTCAACCCATAAGTCAACCCAGAGACACAACTAATCCGCCTGAGAGAGAGAGCTCAGCGCAGGGCTGATTTACAGCCGGCACCGACTCCAGGTCTACAAGCACTGTCTGACCTCTCTGTCTCTGCAGGTAAATCAAGTCACACATAAACCTGATTAGAGGCATGGGAATTCCCTGTTGATAGCACTGTTCATTTATTTACTATTTACTTGTATTTACGGTGGTTCTCAAACTATTACTACTGACTTTTACTACTTACTTACTAATGTACAAGATATTTTGTTCAGCCAAGTACCCCTTTACCAGCACCAAACATTTTGGGCAGGGAAATGTATGTGCATGTCATTTATAAACATGGACATTAAACTGTTGGTGTGAATACTTACAGTTGGAGTACAAGCGGAGTTGTGCTTCACTTATGATTGTTGTCATTCATTAGAAAGATTAACCGAACTGTTTCAGATTTGCATTAGTCTATTAAAGTGGTATTCAGATGTGTAACATTTTTCCCAGCACCCCCTGAAATCCTTCAAAGTACCCCTACTACGATTGTAGCAAGTGCTCGAGGACGCTGGGGATCGAACCCTGAACCTTTCGATTAAATCAATTCATGATTTAAAATGGCATCTTGCTCAAGGATGTTTACAGGTAGAGTAGTGCGGACATCGGGGATCGAACCCAGAATTTCCGGCTTGGAGTCAAAAGCCCTAGCAACTACGCTATTCCCCTTTTCTTTGGGAATCAATAGCACAAGAAAAAAAAATCCTACTTGTAGGCTACTATAACTATTTTTATGTTATGTTGATGCTTTCATCCAAAGTGACAGATATGCCATTAAAGAGCTGGTAGGGGTGAGGCATCTTGTTCAAGGGCGTCCGCAGGTCGGTTGTGGACATTGGGGATCGAACACATCCCAATCCTTTTTGCTGGGAGTCAAACCCCAACCTACTACAGTGGTGATTAACCCCCCCTGTTTCCTCTCGCTTCATAATCCCGGTCCCTCACAGTGTTTTGGATGGGCAGCCATCAAAACTAGAGATTAGATGAGGTTAAAAACGACACTGAATGCAAAGTAAGGGACATGAAACCACAACAGTGATGCTGTGTTCATGACACTGAGTGAAGGGTGAGGGACCCGGTCCAAGAACGGGGTCTCCCTGTGTGTCCTGGGTCTTACCTTGGACGGGTCCGGGGGCATGACTCCCTCCACGGTGAAGGGGCTGCCCGGTACGGGGTTGCCGTCGTAGCTGATGTCCACCCTGTAGGGCCCCTCCTCCGGGGGGATGTACTTCACCGTGGTCACCTCATTGGTCGCCGAGCCGGACTCCAGCTTGCAGGGGATCGGCCGGCGCGACGGGGAGGTGATCTTCACGTCGAGCTTGCCCTGGCCGCCGGCGCCGTGCGTGCTGACGGTGAACTCCTGGTCCTTCCCCACATCCACCTCTGTGCATTTGTGGGAGAATCATTCACTCATTACTCTGTAAAGTACGGGTTTGCATCAGTACATATCCCACCATGCCTGCTCCTCCATTTTTTGTAAACCGACCTCTTTACTCGGTCATTTGGCTCCTAGGAGTGTCTCTCAGCTCTCATTACAGCTAAATAGACCTGTTAGCCAGCACTAGCCTACCCCTGCTACGGGTACTAGATTGAGGGTGTGTGTGTGTGTGTGTGTGTGTGTGTGTGTGTGTGTTTTGCCTGCCCCATCTAACCACAATGTTGTCTCTGTCTTAGTGTGTTGATGTGATCATGACTGGACGTCCAGCCACTGCACTGGACGGCTACCAGCTGCTCACCAGCCAGCACCTCAAAATTAATTTCCTATATTTTGCACTTTAAATGCCCGCTGTAATACTATGTGATTCACTTATGGCACCCATTGCACTCCTAACCGTCCCTGGAAGGAGGGATCCCCCACTCTGCCTTCTCAAGGTTTCTTCCCGCTAATCCAGGGAGTTTTTTCCGGGCGGCTGGGGTTAGGGGATGTCGTAAATATATGGCCTGTCAAGCCTTCTGAGACTGTATCTGTGATTAAGGGCTATATAAATAACATTTACTTGACTTGACTTTCATATTTATATACTTTTTTATATCATACCGTGACTTTTGCACTTGGTGTGTCCACCTTTACTCCTGTGTTCACATGTGTGTACTTGTGTGTGCTCTGGGTTGTTGCCTTATTTCTGCTGCGGCAGAACCAATTGCCCCTCGCGGGACAAATAAAGGTCTTGAATCTTGAATGTAATGGTGCTGTAGGTAAGATTTAAGAGCTATACTTTGAGTGTAATTTGTTAGAAATGACATAGCCCCCCGTCAGCTATTAGCGAGTGAAGTGCTCTGTGAGAATATCTGCTTCGGGGTCCGATCGCCGACCGAGCGTCGTCACTTACTGTTGTTCAGGCCGATCACCTTGATCTTGTTGAGGTCGAGGGGCGGGGCCACGGAGATGTTGAAGGGGCTTTTGGGAATGGGATCCCCGCCGTGGCACACTGTGATGGTCATGGTGCCCTACAAGGAGAGAGAGAGAGGGAGAGAGAGAGAGAGAGAGAGAGAGATGACACACACAGATAGACAGACAACATACGCAAAGATGTCAATGGAGATTGGAGAAGACAATTCAATTCAAGTGTTCGTAAAAAAAACGATAGATCTTCAAAGTAACAGCAAGCGGGGGGGTGTACCGGTATCCCCATATGTGCTACCTGTTGAACGGCGGAGTAGCGGACGGTGTAGGAGTAGTCGTGGTTATCGATGATCTCGAAATCGCGGACGGCTTCGCCTTTCAGGGCCCCCACGAAGCTGACCTCAGGGGTGGCCTTGCCGGCCCCCTTGGTGTAAATGGTGAAGTGGGTTGGCTTGCCCACCTCCACGCCTTCGGGGACAGACGTTACGTTAGATTTATTTCATTTGATTGTAATGGGACTTGGGATTCTGTAGCAGCAATAAATATTTGAGCAATAAGCCACGAGAGGCCGTGGTTTGCAGTGATTTCAGAACAGCTAGGGGGCAATGTTAGGCACGTCGTAAATAAAACGGTTACTAAAACGGTTACTAGACTACCTAGTAAGATTTCACAAAATAAACGACATAGCAATATACTGTAGTTCCTCAAGACAGGAAAATGGTTGCCAAGCAACACAGGCTAGTATACAGGCTTTAGCATACAGGTGCAATAAAAAAACTGTATTTTATCCTATTTTTATACTATTAGTATTTTATACTATATACTCAGAAAACAAGGACTGGACCTATCTGTTTTATAATTATATATCAAATAGCATACCAGGTAAAAATATGCAAGTGAAAATATTCTGAACATTATATGTAAAAGTAGTTAATTTAGGTGCACTGCTTGGATCCATAAGCAATTTCCCCATACGTTACCTCAGATCCTAAAGGTTTCACTATTCCCTACTCATCTCATCCAGGGTGTGTCCCTCCACCAAACCATGATGACTCACCTGTCTTGTTGAGACCGGGCCCTTCTGCCCGGACCTTGGCCGCGTCGTGGGACGGATCCACCTTGATCCGGAAGGGACTGACGGGGATCTCCTGCTCAGAAGACATTCAGAAACACAAACACAAACGGATCACTTCCAGAGAACGCAACCCGGCAGAGGTCTCTGCTCTCAGAGTCCATGGGGAGAGGTGGCCCTGGTTCCAGTCCCTGAATCCTCGCCCACTTTTTAAAAATGTGCTGCGATTCGGGGCCCAGTGTCGGTCGCTTGAGTGATACTCTGCTCGGCGTTAATTTTCCCCCGAGCCAATCAAAATCTTGTAGGCGGGACTTAAAATAAAATGGTGCTGAACATCGGTTTTGAATATGGGCTCACCTGATCTGCGAAGAGCACCATGATGGTGTACTGTCCGGGGCCCGGCGGGGTGTACTTGACCGTGAAGGTGTCGTTGTCGTTCTTGATGATGTCGAAGTCGATGTCGGCCTCGGCGGGGCCCACCACCCCCGGCGCGCACTTGATCCCGATGCTGACGTCCCCTGGATCGGTGTAACACAGGCCTTATCACACCTTATCTTGTCACTCTCACTGACGGTCTGAGAGTCTGTAGAGCTGCACAACTTGCACTATATTGTGTTGACTGTTGCTGTTATTGCGGAGATTGCAGTTGACTGCAGGTATTCAATTTTAGCTAATTTGTCAATATAGAGGATTTTTTTTGTATATAAAAATCATCATCATCATCATCATCATCATCATCATCATCATCATCATCATCATCATCATCATCCTCAACAACAACAATACCACGAATATCCACAATAAAAAAAATGGGGGAAGATGCACGCATGGAAAAACCAACACCAGTTAAACGTGGGTTGTTACAGAGGACCCCGTCAGAGACGTTCGTTGGTTAAGGGAGTGACCCCCCAGCTGACCTTGGCCCGCCTCGCTGCAGTCCACGGTGAAGTAGGTGGGCTCGTTGGCCTTCAGGCCCGCCTTCTCGACGCCAGGGCCGTACACCTTCACGTTCTCCGGGTGGCTGCCCTCGCCGATCATCACCTGCACAGCCCAGCGGGAGGCCAGGACAACATTTAGGAATGATCCAATGAAGAAAAGCTCAATAATAATAATAATAATAATAGTAATGATGCAATTGCATCTCTATAGTGCTTTTCTAGGCACTCGAAGCGCTTTGTATAGTATAGTGTGTGTGTGTGTGTGTGTGTGTGTGTGTGTGTGTGTGTGTGTGTGTGTGTGTGTGTGTGTGTGTGTCCGCACGTTTATCTAACATAAGAGCTGCTATAACCATGTACATATATGGGTGTTTTACTGCCAGGTAAAAGGTTCTGGGTTCAAACCCCAATGTCCACAGTCTAGGCGTCCTTGAGCAAGCTTTGCTAACCCCTATACCTGCTCATTAATGTATCTATATGTATCTGTATCCATGTATCTAATACAATGAACTGTAAGTCATATCGTATGCTGAATTACATGATAATAATGCTAAACTTAAGATGATAACATTGCGGGGACTTCAAGCTAGGGTAAGGTGAACAGTTTTTCGATGATATTATCATTATTTCTGAAATAAGAAAAAGGGATATATTCACATTTTGCCTATTCTTATCATTGTAAATGTAGTACTGTAGTAAAAGAATGGGCAATACATGCCCAATTGGTTTACTATGATGTATTGTAATACATCTTGTTGTGGGCATATCTCTTGGACGTGTGGTGGTCCTACCCTGAAGGGGCTGCTGGGAACGTTGACCTCTCCCCAGGTGATGATGATGGTGTGTTTGATGGGCTTGCTGGGGATGTAGACGCAGAGGTAGGTGCTGTCGCCGTTGTCCGTGATCTGGATGTCGATGGGGAAGCCCTCTGCGTCCTGTTGGTGCAAACATTTTTTGTTTAAATGTCTAAAAATAGACAGGAAATATAAGGCTAAAGATGATAACTTGGGCGGCTGAAAGAGAGGGAGAGGGTGGTGTGTGTGTGAGTGGGCTTTAGAAAGCTAAATGTTTAGTGATGGATGTTTAGCTCTGCGAGTTGGAAAGAGTGAGGTAGGTCTTTCCAACGACAACATTACCAGATAACAACAATGATGGATGGATTTAACGGATCGACATAATTCACAATAATTGATAAACATTGATTAACAGTAGAACATATGTTTTATCCATCCATCCATCCTCCGAGTGCATCTTTAGAGAGATTAACATGAATCAGAAATCATTTCCAAATATGTCTATGGAGGTTTGTTGAAATTA